GTATTCTATTTAGTTCGGCATTTCCGTTCAATTCGGTATTCGGACTTATAAGTCGGATTTCTGTTTCCTTCCGATATGCTGCTATTTGAGTTCCGATTGAGTAAAACTAATCCAATAATTGATTAAGTTTCGGATTTCTGATGTTACACGAATTAGGGTTGAATCAGTATCATGTTGAAATTCGGCGTTTCTGATGTCCATTCAGCATTCCGTTTTTTCGGCATTTTTGCTGTAAATCCTATATTTTGTTGTCTTTTGGATTTCCGTTGTCTTTCAGTATTGGAAATTAGGGTTACGAGAATCTTTGGGTTTTAGATCAACTTGGGGAAATTCGAACGTTTTGGGACCAAAAATCCGGAATTTCGCGGAAACGCGGAAAATTAGGGTTGGGACCGAAATTTTCGCGAAATTTTTGTTTCGTTCCCCTTGTTGGAGAAATTCCGAAAATAGGTTTAGGCTTTCAAAATTCGGATTTTGACTGTGGAAACTCCCGAAAATTCGCGTTTTTGAAAAATTCGAGCGTTTCTTCTGAAATTTTCCGAAATTTTTTTAGCACACTAAGCCGGTAGTTCACTCAGTAACGGTGAACTCCCGGACTCAAAGTGATCTCAAAGAGACCTAATCATTATACCTTTCAAATTCGTTTATTATCATGATTGCAATTACTATTATTGATTATCTTTATTGCAAATAATGATTATTGGTTATCTTTATTACAAACATTGTTTTACTGATTATCATTCGGATTTATTTCGTTAATTATCATTAATTAATTTCATTGATTAAATCGTTATTAATTCCTTATTACGAATTTTTTGAAGGGTTTACGGGAAATTTATTTTTCCTGTTTGATTAGGTGTCTACAGTCCATCAGTGGGACAGGGGATTGTATGTATATTGCTTGATTGTTCTACCCCTGTTCCCACTCTACCTACCCCCCCTGTAGTCTGTGAACACCGGCACCTCTCAAGTACCGCATCAGTTCAAACTGATGTCGATGGAATAGGACACCGAGGCACTGCCACGGCGCAGTGCCAGGATCCCAGTTCGTGCCCGCCCTGCGGTACCTCCAAGACCCAAGAGATTCAGCAGACGGACGACTCCAGCGGCATCAAGTACGGCATTGACAGTAYAAGACACSACMGGAGATCTTCCCGCATGCCCGGTCCGAGAGGCCAGCGAGCCTTTGGCTGACTATCGTGGGCGGCTACAGGCATTTACAGACGCCGTAGCCGCCGGCGAGGCTCAGCAGGCTGCGGCAGAGGCAGAACGTCAGCGGCTGGCCAATGAGGCGGCAGCCGAAGCTCAGCGGACAGCTGAGACTGACGAAGCGGCACGAAACAGACGGAATGCCGCCAGCACGGAGTCCCTGATTGCTAGTGAGCATCAGTGGACAACGGTACTCCAAGGCATGATCTTTGTGCCTACGGAAACGCAGGCGGAACCGACACAGGCGGAGGCAGAGAGAAGTAACCTGGCTACCGTGATGTTGAACGTAATGAGGGGAGTAATGTGGAACAACAAACTACTGCAGGCACACCTGCACGCGGAACGACAGCAAAGACAGCAGTACCAGCAAGACCTGGCCGCTGTAACGGCCGACGTCCGCGACGCAGCAATGCAGCCGCAGCAACAGCAACAACTGATGAACTCTACCATCGCACGCATCAACGGCATTGAGGCCAAGGCCTCAGAAGCGCCAGGCTGCACGACGGACGCGACGAAGCAAATCAACGAACGCATCGATCACGTCGTCACCATCATCGGGGACATAGGTGTTTTCAA